CAGGTAACAAGATAGTCTTATTCTTCCAGTAAAGTATTTGTTTCCAGTTGGAAATTCTCACAATTAGACCAATAAGCAACATCATGAAAAACAAAAAAAAAAGATGGAAGTTGTCAAGGATTTCATTTTACTTGGATTCACAATTACCACTCATGGAAGCAGCAGTTAAGAAATCAAAAGACATGTTATGTCGGTCAACTCATCTGCCAAAGACCTCTGTAAAGTGTTAAAAAGCAAATATGTCAATTTGAGGCCTAAGGTATACCAGATGCAAGCCATCATATTTTCAGTTGCCTCATGAAAGGTGGACAATGAATAAGGTAGATGAAAAAAGGAATTGATGCGTTTGCGTTATGGTGTTGGTGAAGAATATTTAATTTTAGAAGAATAGCCAGAATGTTCCTTGAAACAAAGCATGGGGAGACTTTGGACATGTTTTCAGGAGGAACTGGTCCCTGGAGAATGACATCATGCTTGGTAAAGTGAGGGTCTCAGAAAAACAGGATGACCCTCAGTAAGATGGATTGACCCAGTGGCTGCAACAATGGGCGCAAACACAGCAATGGTAGTAAATATGGCTCAGGACTGGAAAGTGTTTTGTTCTGAAATACTGACTCAACAACACGAAACAACAAAAAGTACTATAGGACTTAAATGAATACGACACAATGGAAATATTATTGGAAATGGGGTTCTGAAGCCTAACTTCAAGGTTAATAGCCTCAGACATTCCAAAGGGTTAATAGTTTCCAGAAATAAAATTTCAAAAACATATATATTTTTCTTTTCTAACGCTGGGTTTCCTCTCTGTTTGATCATATGTGTACTTAAGATTGCTCATATTTAAAATCTGTTTTAATGGATTATATAAGATGTTTTATTAGCCATGATGAAATCTGAGTTTCCGTCTTATACTTTAAAAATTCTGCTTTCTTTCAACAGTGCAAAGCTACAAGCCTCGTTCAATTGGTGCTCTAAAGGAACTAGGTGTGATTTATATCAGCTGTGGTTATGAGCACACTGCTGTGCTTACCCAGGTAATCAAACTGTTGCTATTTTTTAAAGGCCAGAGAAATATTATCACAGGGTGTATGCATTAATTATTGTTGAAAGCAAGATGTAAATCGATATGTGGAGCATTCCATATATACATATCTAAAGAGGAGAGGTTAACCAAATATAAAATTTACAATTTTCAAGATCTCATACAAAAGTTAATTTCAGTTTTAGGAAATTATTTTTAGATATCTATGTAATTGGATTAATATAGAAGCTAATCCTTTTGGTAAGTATTCATTGAATCCTGGTTGTGACGCTGTGGGATAAAGCATTGGACAGCAAGGTTCACTTGAACAACAAGGTCAGCAATTCAAACTCACCAGCCGCTCCTTGAAAACCCTTTACAGGGTTGCTATGAGTTGGAACCAACTCGATGGCACTTAACAACAACAACAACAATATAACTTTACAGATAAAAAAAAAATATATATAGCAGCAATGAGGTAATTTTTACAGCTTTCAACAACTTGTATTACAGACTGCTGTTATAATGAAGTGCCATTGAATCATGTCTGACTCATTTGTTAGGTGCTGTGGAGTTGGTACAGACTCATAGTGACCTTACATGCAATAGAACAATACATTGCCCAGTTCTGTGCCATCCTCACAATTGTTGCTACACTTGAGTCCACTGCTGCTGCCACTGTGCCAATCCATCTTGTTGGGGGTCTTCATCTTTTTTGCGGATCCTACACTTTACCAAGCATGATGTCCAGGGACTGGTACCTCCTGTAATATGTCCAAAGTAAGAAGTAAGACTTATAGCAGCTCTACATAGGGCTCCTGAGGAGTGGCTGGTAAGTTTGAACTGTCAGCCTTTCAGTTAGCAGTTCAGTGCTTATCCGACAGCATCACACCAGGACTGCATATTATAGACTGTTGTTGTTAAGTGCCGTTGAGTTGGTTCCAACCCATAGCGACCCTTATAGGGTTTCTGAGGAGCAACTAGTAAGCTTCAACCACTAACATTGCCATTCAAACTGACTTTGCAGTTCAACACATTAGCCCACAGCGCTACACCAGGACTCTGGCATATTACAGACTAGAAAATGCTTTATTCCAGTTTCTTTCTTGGCACAATTCTGAGTTAGCCTCCTGAAATTTTTCTTCTCTATATATTGGGCTTATGCTATATGGATGGTGGATTTTCAATCATCGTTATCAAAAATAGCCTTGAAAACTATTTGTGTGGTTGAAATGTTTATTTCTAAACTTCTTGTTACTGTTAAGCATCACTGAGTCGGTTCCAACTCATAGGGATGCAGTATGAGGTTTCTGAGGAGCAATAGGTGGGTTTGAATCACTGAACTTGCTGTTATCCTGCAGCGCTACACTGTACTCCAAATAACTTTAAAAATTTTTTTATTATGGATTGGGTGAAAGTTTACAGAGCAAATTGATTTTCCACTCAATAATGCAGACACATTTTGTTTTGTGGTATGGATTACAATGACCACAATGTAACAACACTCTTCTCACTTTCTCTTGTGTTTGCCATTTCCATTCACCCTTCCTTCCTATTCCTATTCCTGCCTTTTGAGCTTTATCCCCAGGGAAATGCTACCCTTTTGATCTCATATGGTTGATTACTCTAAGGAGTGTGTACCTCCCTGGTTTTAATGTTCCCCTTATGGGTCTGACTATTGTTTGATTGAAATTTGAACCGCTGGAGTGAGTTCAGGTCCAGACTTGAAGGGTATCTGAGGGCCACAGTATTGGGGGTTCCACCAGTCTCTATTATAAATTTTTGGATGATTTTGAGTTTTGTTGCACATTTTTTTATCTACTCTATTCAGAACCCCCTATTGTGATCCCTTCAGAGTCATCAGCAGTGGTAGCTGGGAACCATTTAGTTCTTTTGCCATGGGGCCTGGGGCTCAAATGGTCCATTAGTTCTTTAGATTAATTGTTTCCTTGTGCCTTTGATTTTCTTCTTTGCTCTGAATGGGGAGAGACCAGTAGCTGAGCTTTAGATGACCATTCACAAGCTTTAAGACCCCAGTCACTACCCACTGAAGTTGTATGTATTAGGAAAAAGTTTGTGGAAGAATTCCATGATCTTTTCATTCCATTTTTCCATGAACTTTCTGAAGCCCCCTCATAGAACATTGTCGTGTGGACTATGCTCTGTCAATTGACCTCGATGTTCCCTGAAACTATGGGTCTGAACCCCCATGCCCTACAACTCATTCCCCCTCCCCCAGGTGTATAGTTACGTCTAAGAAGTTTTTGTAACTTTGCTTCCTGTATGCTCTACTATAGCCATGGATATATTTACAGCACATATAAATATCTATGTAGAAATGTACCTTGTCAAACATATAAATATATTCCTGGGTATAGTCCCATTTGCCTTCCATTCCTGTCCATATTGCCTGTCTATCTAGGTAATCGTCATTACTGTTATTGTGCATGATGTATTTGCTTTCACTCTGTATATCTCCCAGTGTCTTTCTCTGTCTTGACCATTTTGAGCAGCTGTCCCCCTTATTGTATATTGCCTTT